CTCTCAGGCTGACTGCCTTTCCCTCTGGCTCCACTTTCAGGACCACACACTGGGTAGACCACGTTCCACAGCATATTTGTGGTACATGCATTTTTCTAAGTCCAAGAGCTGTTCCTTTTTTTATACCAACTGTGAACAGCATATCAGTGAAACAGTGGGCTTGGTGCCTGAGCAGCTTGCCCAGTGCTGTCTTCTTCCACCTTTGTAATTTTAGGTCAAGGAAATGAATGTAGGTGCCAGATTGGGCTGTTTAGATCACTGGAGCTGCTCCTAACCACCATCAGAATTAACAATGATTCTAAACCTGAAGCTGTTTCTATGAATGGGAAAATGGCTTGACAGAGTGGAATGCCACTGCGAAACATCTTGAGTGCTTTCTTTGACTGGAGTTTAAATGTCATTGCAGTTTTACTGGGTTTTTTTTGCTATTCAGTGTATATTTACAAACTTTATTCATTTCCTGAAGGATGTAGAGCACTGTGTGCATTAATCCACTTCTTTTCAAGGTGTTTCATTGCTTCTGTTGACAAGTAAATAATGAGGAAGAATTATGGGAGGTTAGCCTATGAAGTTTTCTGAAAAATATATTCCTAGTGTTTGTAAAAGTCGTGAAATTGAGGTGATAATCTCTGGAATTTAGTCCTTAGAAGAAGCAATAATTGGGGTACTGGATGTAGAGATTCTCAGGCCACAGACTCTCCTGCAGGGACCACATCCTAGCTCCCAGCTGGGCCCAGTTCTTTACAAAGAATTCCAGTAGCAGTGTAAAGCCTTCCAAGAGAAGTGTGCTGTGATATTCCTTCACAAATTATTACAAAAGGAAATTACTGTCCCTGTTAAAATACACCCTTTTCACTGCACTCAAATGAGTCTAATTCCAGATTCTCTTCAATGGATCTTGTTAAGCCTTTGATAGATTAGAGAGCCCTTTCCTGTTAGAGGGCTCCTGCTCTGATCGGTGCTTGTGAATGACAACAGGAGCATGGAACTAGAAGCGACAGCTTGGGCCATCAAATCCCATTTCCCTGCAATTGCTGGCAATGATGTTATAAAGTCCATTTCAAACTCAATCTTAAAACTAATTGCATACCTTGCCCCCAACGCTCCTCTCAGGAATCTGTTCCAGAACAACATTTCTCCCACTGTTAGAAACCATCTGATTTCCAGCCAAAAGTTATTTGTGCCAACTCATACCTCTTTGGTTTTGTGCCAGCACAGACTATTATCTGAGGCCATTTTCCTCCTTTCTTGGTGCTCATCTGCTTGTGTGTTTAGAGAGCAGGGACATGCTCTCCAGCTGCCTTCTCACTTGGCCAGATATACCCAGGCCCCCCTCAGACGGGCTCTGCAGTCTGAAGATGTCCTCAGAGCCTGACTCTGCTCCTCTCCCAGTTTCTGTTCTGGAGCAGAGGTGTGAGAATACTGGAGTAGATAATCCCATGTCTAAGCAGTGAGTGTGCCAGCACTCAGTCCTCTCAGCCTTGGAGTGGAGTTCTGCCTCTCCCCATGAGCCAGGCCACCAGCCTTTGCACAGCTCCAGCTGGGGCAGCAGCACCTCTGAAAGGGCTTCCCAGCCTAGAATGTGTCAAACGTGGCTCTAACTGGGGCCTGCTCATCAGCATGTGCAGTCAGACCCTGGCAGGGGTGCAGGGAAGGGCTCTCGGCTGACAACCATGACTTATTGTCACATGTCCCCAAGATTCAGGGGCACTGCTGCCCCTGTGGAGATGAGAGCATCACAGGCATATTGCCCAGGTGGGGCAGCCAAAAGTCCCTCCAAGTGATGGGAACTTAGAAAAAACTGCATGCAAGGAGTGGCTGCTCCATGGTCGCCCAGATTCCTTTCCCTTTGTACAAATCAACTGATCTTGATCCCTGCCAAAATGTGGGGCATGAACTAGGTGATCTACCCAACCCAGGCAATTCCCAGTTGGCCTTGCTAGATTGGCCACTGCTGCCTGCCTGCCTGGAAGGGCTCCCATTGCTAATTGATGTGCCTTGGAGAGGCAGGTATGCAGGGTAAATACAGAAGCCTTTAAGAGCAGAACTGTCAAATAAAGTGTTACACTCCATCAGCTCCTATTGCATCCATGGCTGAACAGCACTAGCCAGCATTGGATAACACTCAGATCTGCTCATGGATGCGTTTGACATCCACGCAGGAGAAATACACACTCTGTGATGAATCAGGAGGCAGAGCACAGCAGCAGGCATTTAAGGATGAACCATTTGTTTTAGAGGGCTTCACATTCCGGTTATAAAATTTCCTCTGGGCTGGAAGCTGGTGCCCAAGAAGAAATTGTCTCTCCGTTCTGTGTGGTTTGCTGTAAATCCTGTTAGTCTCCTGTGCAGCACAGCAGCCAGAGCACCAGGGATGTCAAGCTGGGGCATTCTGCTAAGCACTGCAGTTTGGGTTTGTTCTCAGCGTCAGAAAGACCAAAGCACTGTGACTTCATTAAACAGAGTCTAGTTTGAGGTTTATCTTATTTTTGAAACTGAAAACTATTTGGGTTTTGGCTTGGGTTAGGTTAGGGTTTTTTAATATTGGGAAACTCAGGAGCAGGCTTGTGGCTGCCAGCAGCTTCTCCAGTTTGGAATAAACGTATCTTCATGTACGAGAAGGATTTGTTTCTCTCAAGGCAAATCCCTACATACCAGAACAATTACAGGAGAGGCCACGTGTACGTGCTGAGCAGAGCAGCCAAGTGAACCTGCTCTGCCTCCTGGGAGCGTCCGTCTGTCCCCAGCCCTGCTGAGTGACCCACGCCGCCCTGCTGCCGTTCCCACGTAAGGTTCAAGCCTGATTTCCAACCTGGCAGCAGCGTTGCTGAGGGCTCGGAGCACAGGCCAGGAGCCGTGTTCCCAGTCAGAGCCTGGGGCTTGCCCGGGGCCCAGCGCTGCTGCCCGGGGCAGCTGTGCCACCCCTGCCACGCTGTGACAGGCCACAGGCAGCACCGCGAGCGGGGATGCCAGGCTGGCCCCTGCCAGCCCGAGCCAGTCCCCAAACAGGCACATTACTGTAACGCAGCTGAAAAGGAATCCACAAGTCACAGAAAATGATTTACAGGACACAAGACACTGCATTTCAGAGGTCTCATGTGTGCCATAAAAAATATATTATGAAGGAATTATCTCCATTGGAACTGGAGCTGCACAGGGAGAACACATGTCCAGCTGAGAGCAGCATTGAGCTTTTGTTCATTATGGGAAACACTGGTGCTTTTCCTCTTTTTCTGTGAGTACATTTCTCAGCTCTGGGTAGCTACCTAACACTGGCAGTTAATTTTTGTTTCCAAATGTTGCTTTTGCAATGAGACCAAGCGTAGCTGGGATCCCAAAGGTGCATTGCTCTGTGGAGCTGGCAGTCCTGTGGGATTTAGGTCAGGCAAAGAGTAAAGTCAGGGCTCTGAATTTTAGGAAAGCAAACTGCCAGCTCTTCAAGGAGTTAGTCAATCAGACCCCTGGGAAACTGCCCTCAGGGACAAGGAGCAGAGCAGAGCTGGAAGATCTTTAAGGGCCCTTTCCACAGAGCACAAGAGCTCGTGATCCCCAGGCACAAAAAAGCGGGCAATGAAGAAGTCTGACATGGCTGAGGTGGGACCCGCTGGTCAGACTCGAGGGGAGGAAGGAAATGCACAGGCAGTGGAAACAGGCAGAGGTGTCATGGGAAAAGCATAGGGAAACTGCCTGGTTGTGTAGGGATGGAAGCAGGAAGGCCAAGGCTGGCGCTGAGCTTGGCAAGGGACATACAGAATAACAAGAAGAGCTTCTACAGGTATGTCAGCTGAAAAGGGAGGTCAAAGAAAGCAGCGACAGGACAAGGGGAAATGGATTTACACTTACAGAGGACAAGGTTAGATTGGATATTGGGAAGAAATTCTTCCCTGTGAGGGTGGGCAGGCCCTGGCACAGAGTGCCTAGAGCAGCTGTGGCTGCCCCTGGATCCCTGGAAGTGTTCCAGGCTAGGCTGGATGGGGCTTGGAGCAGCCTGGGATGGTGGAAGATGTCCCTGGCCATGGCAAGGGTTGGACTCTATGACCTTGAAGAATCTCTTACAATTCAAAACATTCCATGATTCCATGTTGCCCATGCAACAGCAAGGTTTGGACATGGGTTTCCCCTGTAAAACCTGTGTAGCTGTTCACCTGTGAGGGTTTTAGCACATGGCCGTGTTCCTCAGTTCCTCTCTGTACGTGGCACTGCCAGCATTCTTCTGCTGTGGGGCAGGATGCCAAGGGCTGTGACACGCCCCAATATCCCAGGGCAACACTCATGATGGAGAGACTCCTGGAGACCCCAGACGAGGTATTGGAGAGATCTGAGAGACAATAATGCATTCCTTCCCCTCACAAAATGCATCCTTAATGCCAAACCTGAGAACTGGAGGTGGGAAGTGACAAAACGTGGAGCTGGAAAGAGGTGATGGCTGCTCCAGAAAACTGTGAGGAGGGAGGCTGTCAGCCCCAACCTGCTCCACCAAGGCTGGGGACAGAGTTCCTGGAAGAGCATCGTGCAAGGGTGTAATTGGCCTCATCTACTAGTGCAGCTCCTGGCACCTAAACCATGAACCCTCCATGCTCCAAATCAAGTTCCTGCCTGCCCCTGCCCACGGTCTGCCACCTCTCCTCAGGATCCCAGGAGAAAGCAGGCTGCCCTAAGAAACCGTCCCGGATGCCCGTAAGGCCAGAACCAAGGGGCCTGTGCCCTGCTGCCAGGGCTGTCCCACAGGATCTGCAGGCTGAGCCGAGCCGTGGGCCGGGGCACAACACACTTCGGGGAGTGGAGGGGAGCAGGCCACAACAAGGGGCCAAGGAGCTGCGGCGCGGTGATTTCTGCAGGGGAAGGAGGAGGATTTGTAGGGTACAGCTGGCACCGGCCCTGTTTGGGGGCCGGGCGCTGACCCGAGCGGCTGCGGCACGGCGGGTGGGTCAGGGCAGGCGGGCTGCGGGCCGAGCCGGGCGGGCGGGACTGCGGCAGCCGGGCCCTCCGGGGGCGGGGCGGGCGGGCAGCGGCGCCCCATGCGGCTGGGGCGGCCGGGCGGCGGCTGACACCATGTGCGCCCGGTGCCCGGGGCGAGGAGCGGGGAGCAGCCATGTCCCCCCCCGCCCAGCCGGGGGTGCCGGGCGGGCGCGGCTCTAAGGGGCCCCCGGCGCGGAAGCTCCTCTGCATGTGCAGCCTCTCCCTGTGCCTCACCTACCTGTGCTACAGCCTGATGGGGGGCACCGGCCCGGCCGCCCTGCGCTCCCCCGCCGCGCTGCCCGGCTCGGCGGCCCCTGGGGCCCCGCGCTCCCCCACCGCCTTCCCCGTCACGGCGGCCCCTCCGCCAGCCCCCCGGGCAGCCCCGGCGCCCCGGCCCCCTCGGCCGCTCCGCCGCGGGCCTCCAACGGCAGCCGGGAAGGGGCGGCGGGCACCTGGCTGCGGACGCAGCTGGCCCCCGGGGAGGTGATCGCGGCGCAGAGCGGAGCCTTCGAGAGGGACCCGCAGGAGTCGAGCACCACGGACGAGGAGCTGAGCCGGGCCGGCAGCCCGGGCAGCCGCGGCGGCAGCAGCAGCACCACGCCGGACTACGGGGAGAAGCGGCTGCCGCAAGCCCTCATCATCGGGGTGAAGAAGGGGGGGACGCGGGCGCTGCTGGAGGCCATCCGGGCGCACCCCGACGTGCGGGCCGTGGGCACCGAGCCCCACTTCTTCGACAGGAACTACGAGAAGGGGCTGGAGTGGTACAGGTGAGGGCGGGGGGCTGCGGGGCGGCGAGCGATGCGTGTCCGTGCGGGCCGGGGCGGCCCCGGCGGGGTCCGGGGGTCTCCCGTTGCCCCCGGCGGGAGCCGCGGCGAAGGCGCGGGCCGCGGGAGCCGCGGGGCCGGGGCAGGCGGGCCGCCGGGGCCGCGCCTGGCAGCAGCGGCGGTGGAAAACGCGCTGCTCCGGTGGGAAAGCAGGAAATCTCTGTTAGCATCCCTCTCGGTTGCTCGCGGTGTGTGAGCATACCGTAGCAGTTCAGCTGCAGTTGGTGTAAAATACGCCTAAATAGGTCGGTAATTAATAATTACTGAAATAAACAAGATCGCAAGTTATTCCAGGTGCTGCTAGGGCTGAAGGATGCTGCCTTCATGCGAGCACAGGCTTTGCCTCACAAATAAGGTTTACTCTTTATTCAACAAGTTCCACGTTAGGAAGTTTTTTTCCATTGACAAGATCTAATTCTGTTCGTGAAGAAGTCTCTAAATACTGTTGGGTGACGCTGGGTAACATTTTAAAGGAATTTTGTGCTAAAAGTCCTGGTTATTAGAAAACACTGGACTGCAGTATGGAAGTGTTAAATGTCTCGACAGGTTTAGGAAATCAATGGATTGTGATGGCTCAGTGTTTTTCTGTCTCGTTAAAAATTTCTGAGCAGAATGCAGCACATCAGTGGAACTTAAAAACTCCCAGTAGCTCTGTGTTCATGGTTCAAAGCAAACTGTACTGGTTCTTGGTAAAAAGTGGTCTGTGGCTGAGCTGGTGAAGTTCTTGTTGTGGTTAGTATGGCAGCTGCCTAGTTGCTCTGCAAATGAAGCTAAAAATGAGAGGCAGCAGGCAAGTTACTGCCTGGATTATCCGGTCCCTCGTTATTAAACTAAGTACATGGTCTGCATATCAGGGGTATTTAAAGGTGCGAAACTCCAGGCAGTCTTCTATGGGGATTGTGGAAGGAAAGTCTTCGTAACACTTGGTGTGGCATGGCTTGGCTCTGGTGAAATGCTGTGGGATTTTCTGGGGGGATTTCAAGGAAGTGGACATCAGAACTTAGTGAGGTTGTCCCTGAGAGTGTTTTCAGTGTGCTGCTCTGATGGGGGAGGAACTAAAGGACTGGCTATGGTTTTTGTGTTTATAGATACAATTTCAGACATAGTATTTTATTGCACTGAATTTTCTTGGAGGAGAGGCTTACCTTGAAAAACAAGTTTAGAAAGCTGGCTAGAAGAGGCTAGAAAGTGGCACATAAAAAAAAAAAAGTTTGGTTTTATTCAAAACAAGCAGAAGAAGATCAAGCACTGAATATGATGAGCAGCTGCTTTTTCATCTTTAGAGTTATGCTACTAGAAGAGGGCTAGTGAGTGGGTGTAAGAGGCACACACAGGTTTTCATTTGCAGAATGCAGTTTGGCATTTCCATGCCTGCAGCAGCTCTCTGGTGTGTGCTGCTCCTTTCAAGCCTTGGAGCTCTGCTGCTCGGGCAGGAGAGGTGGCAGAACAGGCTGGGGCACCCTTGGTGTGTGAGGGTCTGGGCAGAGCAGGCTGTGGGATGGTAATAACTGCTGCTCTGTGCCACTGCAGCCCTGGCTGCCCGACCTGCAGTTACCTTCACACCTGCCCAACCCAAACACGTGCTTCTCCCCCCTCCTTCAGGAGCGTTCAGCCTTGCAGGGGCAGGACATGGCTGGTGGTCTGTGCCTCAGCAGCAGCCACAGCTTCCCTGGTGCTGTACTGGTGCCGGGCTGTCGTCATGGACTGCCTTTTAGTGCCCTACAAACACAAACCAAAAAGCAGAATGGGGAAAGCTCACCGTCCATCCCAGCAGCTGCTTCTTCCTGACCTTCTCTGAGATTACCTGATTGAGTGTGCCAGGGAGGCTGACAGCTCATAGCTGTGTCCCAGGTAGAGTAATTGGAGATTTTTCTCCTGTCCACAGAAATGTCAGTGTTTTTTTAGCAAAGAAGCAACTATTGAAGTCATCTCCTTATGGTGACTTCCGCATTACACACTGTGAGCTTTTAACACCGTCAGGTTTCTTCTTACATAGTGAAATAAGGGAATGGCAGACCTTCAGGGTTCCTTGCTTAGTTGTTCACTCACAAAATTATCTCCCAGTCTCAAGGAGCTGGAGGAAAGGGAAATGCCTTCTCCACCTTGGTTGCTCCTGTAAAATGGAGATGGCACCAGGGCATTGCCATTTCTTTGTGTGTACTCCATGCTGCATTACCTGTGTCTTTGTTGCCTTGAGATTGAAAAGCCCTAAATGTTCTGGGTGTCTGGTCCAGGATCTCCGTCAGTGGCTGGAGTTGATGCTAGCACGGGCCAGGGGGTGCCAGCTCTGTGCTGCTGGGACAGGGTGGCATGTCAGGATGGCAGTTCCACACTGCCTGCTCTGTTTTTTCCTGGGAACCTGTAGGGAAAGCTGAAGGTTTGTATGCTGTCGCTGATCTCTTCCGCTCATTTCATGTGCTCCTGTCAATTGCAAACAGAGGTCTTTCCACACATGAACTGGTGCAAACTGGACCAAGATTAGCTTTGGTTAGTTTCTATTATGTTGCCAGGATTGTTTGTGTGGTTGCAGTTTATGACTCTGTCCGTCCTAATGCTGGGCTGTCTGAAGGACAAGTTCCATGGTACAGCTTCCTTTAAACGACATCCAGTCTTCCTCTGCTGTTCCTTTGTAAGCTGTTGTCTTTAACTTTCTCCTTCCTTCCTGAGGATATGCCAGCTTTCCTGCAGGAGCTGCTGCTGATTTTTAGCCAGTGTCCAAGTGTCCCCCTGCCCTCTCATGTGCCCAGGCACAGTGATCTCTGATGGCCCCCGTGGCCAGGCTGGACTGCAGGCATTTGCTCTCTCCGGTGTGATGCTCATGCCTCAGTGGGCATGTCCCATGCCGTGAGCTCTGCCCTGAGCTATCCTGCATTTGGAAAAGCACTGGCAGCCTTTCTCAGAGCACAAAAAGGATGGCAGAATGACAGAGAGGCCTCTGAGGCCAGGGAATGGAGATTACATCCATAAATGCTCACTACAAGCACAGGCACAGCACTTGGGACATGTCTGAGTTCCCTGCCTGGGCATGGATCAAGGGCACACAATTGTGTAGGGATGCAATGGGAACTGCCAACTGCCTGCAGTGTCCAGCACCTGGACAGGTTTGTGTCCTTGTGGTGCTAGGGCCTTGGCTCGGTGTCAGAGTGGAGAGAGCCCGGGGAGGTGGGCAGGGTGTGCAGGGAGCCCTGGAGTCGGTGTGGTCGCATGGCTCCGTGTGGCTGGAGGAGGAGGGGAGGTGATGGTGTTGGGCACTGCGCCGTGGCTGTGCCGCCCTGCGCCGCTGTGGGTGGTGCAGGTGCTCCCCTGTGCCAGTGCCAGTACCTCGGGATGCTCAGATGCTGCTGGTGCCTGCTCTGGGGACTTCGGAAGAGAAATGCTGCAGGTGGCTGTGTGAAGGAGTGGGAGCTCCAAGCCCCAGAATGGGGGGGCTTTAGTTGTGTCTTTCTGCTGGTGCAAATGACCAGCACGGGAGGCCTCATCACTTGGGTACCCTTGAGGTTTCCTGAGCTGAATGGAACAGCCCAGTGCTCCCAGCTACCATCCCCAGCTGCCTGCAGGCTCAGCACGGTGAGAGGGTTAAGTTCTGTCATATTACACTTTCAAGGCTATTTTGACATCCTGCCTTTAGCAGAAAAACTGGGGATTTGTAACAATATTTTGAAAACACACTTGCGGTTTTAACACAAATACGATTTCCATAACACAAAAAGAACACCTAGTAGTGGTGAGTTGAAATTGAGTTTTAAGGTTTGCTGATTGGAAGAGTTAAATTCTGTGTGTACATGCACATTGCTTTACTCCTTGCTTCCTCCTCCCTGGAACCCTCATGGAGAGGCTGCAGCAGTATCTGTGATTAGATCACATTCCCCTCTCTGCCGTGGGCCTCCAGTGCTGAGTGCTTGGGTGTAGCTGTGTGTGTGGAGTGGCCCCGCTGCAGGAGCAGTCACCATGGCAGGCAGTGGAGTGGCTTGCATGTCTAATGCTATTTGCACTGCTTGTCTGGGTTTTTTGGAGTGTTCTCCCGAGCAGTCAGGCCTGCGTGTTATTTGGTGAGCTGCTGGCCTCATACAAATAATGAATAATGCCGTGACAGGGAGCTCTTCTCTCAGCAATAAACACGTGCTCACGGGTGAGCGGTTCCGTGGAGCTGTGGCTGTGGCTCCGGAGCTGGCACTCCCTGTGGACACCGAGTTCATCTGCCTGGGGGAGGTGGCTGCTGTGTGTTATTTCTGCTCCCCACGGGGCCATCTCTTCCTTCCTGTGCTGACCTGGTGGCTGGGGCAGAGGGCAGCCCTGCGTGCCCAGGGACGATCCAGCCTTGGAGCACCCGGCTTTTGCTGCCTGGGCTGCTGGCAGGAATTGTGTCCAGGGATGTGTGCAGGGACCTTTCTTCAGCGTCCCCAACAGCTGTTGGGCAGCAATAGCTTGGGGCCATTTCAGCCTCATCCCACACAGTGTCACCTCGCTGTGAGCTGTGCCTCGCTGTGAGCTGTAATTGTGTTGCTGGCTAATGCCTGTGCTGTTCTGATCAGCTCAGGGCATTCAGGAAATCAAACCCTTTCCATCAGCACTGTGAGCCTGTGCTGACGGCACTGTGGGAACACCTACCATGGAAGGATGGATTGGGGTCTGCTTTTGCCCACAGGCACAGCTGCAGAGCCTGGGAACCGCTGTGTTTCTCTGCAAAAGGCCTTCCCAGAGTGTTGTACCCACTGCACTTCTGGTAACTTAGGGAAAGCATATTGATTTTGTTTCTGGGCCCTGCTGTGAGTTGGTTTTGCTGAAATGTAGTGACTCAGCTGCCTCTCTCCTCTGTGGATCCAGTGTATTGGACTTTGCTGACCCCTGGCTCAGCTCTGGGCTGGGCACTGCGAGCAGGGGTCAGGCTTTGTGCTGGTTGGCCCCCATGTTTCGCCCATCTGGGGACTGACGAGGAGCCATTC